CCAGATTTGAACGGGCCTTAAACAAACCTGTGCAATATTGTAAAATATAAAACATTTTTTAAAAATATGGAAAAATAAATATTTTATTTATTTTTAACTTATTTGTAAATAACTTAAAATTTTATTTTAGTGGCATTATAAATAAGACAAATTATACAATGAAATATGCACTTTTAATTTGAAGTAATCTAGTTATTTTAAAACTAACACTGGCAAAACTAGAAAAAAATAAAAAAATTGGAAATTGAAAGCACCACACCACTGCTAGAGGGTCCTTATACAACTGCATTTTTATTTTGCTTTGTTACAACCTTTGTTTATAGATCAAATAGAAATATAAAAATTGCTCTGGTCCATAAGGGGTTTGCAGGGAGAGCTGAATTGGTTAAAAAAAATGCACAAAACCAATGGATTTTGCCAAATTGCCAACCTTTCTTCAAAATCTCATGATTATTACACACTTAACTTAGTTTCGATGAAAATATATATATATATATTTAAAAACATGTGGTGCAAACACAAATATACAGTGAGAACTCTTTACTACAAAACAAGCATTTTGCAGTTAGTGGTACATGGGATCTGTCAGACTAAATGTAAAATGTGTATTACTTTTAATTATGTGGTTTATTGCTCCCTCTATGTAATGCTGCATGCACTCAATTTCCCATTTAATGTTGACATTATTATTTGATCCAAGAGGGCAACTTCCACATTCTAGCATGTTAATAAGCATGCACAGTATGAGGTGCATAAAGCAGAGTGTGACTGCCGAAAATGAAGACCGACAGCCTTCAGATAACCAAGCAACAACCCACACAGCTTGAACCTCTTTGACGATAGATCACAATAATAAAACCTGAAGGGCAGGAACTTTGGTAAAAACCTATAGAATCTATAATCCAAGTGTACATTAAGGGTAATAACATCATAATAATCATATATCATACTTTATTTACTTTCCTCATAAACAAAGATTCTCAACAGTGGTGTTACTACAAGCTTCAAACTATCCTACCTGCTTCTTCTTATGGTTGTCAAGGCATGCTGGGATATGTAGCCTCATAGGAAATTCATTTCTTTATTGTCTATAAAGAGTCATTTGTTTTTTGAACTCTTGTTATATGATTCTATACAATGCAACCAGGGGTGGACTGACCATTTGGAAACACAGGCACTGCCTGAGGGCCCGGGGTCAGTAGGGGGCCCCATGAGATGCCCCTGGTACCTTTTTCATAGGCATTTTTGAGTTTGGGCAAGGACACAGGGGCCCCATGATCCCCTATTGCCCGGGGGCCCCATGAGTTGTCAGTCCACCCCTGAATGCAGCCTCCTTCAAATACTGCTGTGGGCTTTGAATGTTATCCACGCTACCAAAATAGTGTCCTTTCAAACCCTTCTTCATCTTTGGGAATATGAAAAAGTAGCAAGGAGCCAAGTTGGGGTTGTAGGGTGGATGGGGAAACACCCTAATGTGTTTTTCAGCCAAAAACTCTCTGACAACCAAAGCAGTGTGATGAAGGATCCAAGTTCAGCCAATCTCAGGATGCACATGAAAAACTCTTTGTTTCAAGTGACCAAGAATTATCAGGTAAAATCTTTGATTTACAGTTTGACCAGTAGGTAAAAATGCCTTATGAACAATTCCATGTGCTCATTTGAGCTTTCTTGGGGCGAGGTGATGTGGGTTTGTGCCATTCTGAACTTTGTTTCTACGTCTTAGGATCGTACTCAAACACTCAGGATTCATCTCCTGTGATCACTCGACTCAAATAATCACGCTCTCTTTCCAAACTGGCGAACAGGCCTTGGAAAATGAGTTGACGGTGTTCCTTCTGATCAGGTGACAAGTTTTTTGGAACACGTTTTGTTTACACCTTTCTCCTGTTCAAATCCAGAGTCACAATTTCTTAAACAATTGACTTGAATTGAATTGATTTTCTCTGCAATAATTCTGATAATGAGCCATCAGTTATGGTTGAGAACAGACCTCACTGCACCAACATTCTGTTTCTTTTTTGATGAAGAGGGGTGTCCTGATCGTTTTTTCGTCTTCAACACCTACTCATCCTTCCTTGAAGGCCTTGTGCCATCGGTATGCTTGTGTAGATGATAGCACAGCTTCTCCATAAGTTTTCCTCACCATTTCTTAAGTTTCTGATATACTTTTACCCAATTTCACACAAAATGTTATTGAGTATCACTGTTCTAAACACGTTTGCATTTTTCTCAATATGAGACACTTGATCAGGGTGTCACAAAAAAGAATGTCTCAACTCTTATAGGGCTAAATTGCAACTGATCAGTGTTCTATAATGCATACCTGGTAACCCACCCCAAGTGACCTTGGCCAGTTTTTCCCTTCACAGAGCTCTTCTTGAGCGTAGGAACTTCATTCTAATTACATTTTGGACACACCTTTATGTATGTGCTAACATTTTGTGTATGATTTTATTTGATTTTTTTAACACTTTTTTACCTTCTTTTTCACTTTGCTACTAACACAAGAACTCCCTGAGCAACACTGTGAGGTCCCATTCAGATCCTGGCATCCTACTGCATTAATGCAGGTTTTTATATGCATTAACGTGTGCTGCGTTAGGACAGCTCATTCAAGTGAATGGAGCACCAAAGCAACCAAGAGGTCAGACATGCACTGTTTTTGGCAACCCAGTACACCAAATCTATAGTACTGCATTATCGAGCATTGTAGTGCACTGCAGTGTATTTGCATTGGAACTGTGTTGCCTTCATACATTGGAGTGCCATTCAAAATGAATGGCGTCACAACTTGCAAACATACGCAAGTGTTGGAGAATCAAGCCTCTGTGTTGTGTGTGGGAGCCGTGGTGAAGATTTCTGTAGCACAGGGTATTTTAAACCTTAAGCCGGCCATAGATGGAGCGATTTTCTTTTCTGCAGCCATGGGCCAGAAAAGAAAATTACTCAATTCCTCCTTTAGCTCTACCCCCTTTGAGGGACATTGAGTAGTTTTTGGGTTCCCTGTCTCCCCTGAGCCTGCCTTGGAAGCCCTTGTGACACCACTTTAAAGGATAAGTTCACCTTTTTGACAAAAATAATAAATGCACATTTTTTGCAGGAGCCATTGCACCAGCGATCAGTAGATCTCTGATGCCATGCAAGTCTCCTGCAGACCTGTCAGAATATCTGCCTGCCATACGATTTGTACAAGCAAGCAGATATTCTGACAGGAAGCTTCAATGAACTACCACGGCGCTCCACAGTGCTGTGGTAGTTAATTGAAAAGTACAAGCTGACAGCCGCTAAGGTTGTCTGGACTTGCAGTTCATTCATTCACAGAAGTCCGTGAATGAATGATGTGGCTGCATGGGCGGAGCCCCGCATGGCCGGGGCTGTTTTCAAATTTGACAGATAGTAGGGGAGACTTCTCCTTGTACTATCTGTCAGGGGGGGGGGGGGGGGGGGGGGGGTCACTGTGGGCGGTTGCTGCGGCTATGGGAACATGTTCCACCCTAAAAAATGGGTGGAACATGTAACATGTTCCCAAAGGTAAACTTATCCTTTAAACCTTTGGCTAGAAGAACTCTTTGGCCTTTGCCATAAAGTAGACACATACACAGGTTAGAGTGACACTTTGATTATATGGAGGTCAAATGATGAGCACAGTAAAACTAAACACAATAAGATGACAAGAAAATAAATGACAGTTAATATTCTTAATAAAACTCTTAATAAACTCAAACAAGAGTTGCAACACAGCACACTCAAATAAGTTTTTGTTGTCCTGTAAGTCAGAATTCAAACAATAGCCTCAGCCCTGAGATGTTTTCTCCCAAGTGAGCAAGATGGGAAGCAATCAAATTGACAGACTAACTCACGTTGGGCCCTCAGGTACTGGTGGCTGGGTCTGATTCTGAAAGAAGAAGAGCTCTGTAAAAGGATGGATGATTGTCCTTTTAAACTTCAATATGCAATCTTCTGTGTGCTTAATGGGGCCCTAGTTGGTGCACATAAGGATTTAAATCTTTCTTGATGCAAAGATAGGATTTCCCTAAGAGAGGGTGAACACAAAGAAAAGGGAACTACTCCTTTAAGTGATGTTGAATTTGGATGGTGTTTTCTTAGTACACACAGAGTGAGACCTAAAATTAGGCTGAAATGAAGGAAAGGGGCAGAAACACATTTCTGTAGGGGTTAGTTCCTCTTTAAAAGGGCAGCAAACTACACTGATAAAGAAATTCCATACCAAATGAAACAGACTGGAACTGAAGCACTAATACAACTTGATCTGCAGGGTGCAAATATTGCAGCAGGCTCTGGTGATTCGATGTGTTGAAAGTGTAATGATTAGTAGACTAAACTGTTGGGTTGATTTACAAAAGGCAAATAGACTGTTCATTTTGCAAGGGAAGTTGCACTTTGTAAGGAAATTTCTCCAAAGTTTAGTAAATGAGGTGACACACAGCTGCCTTACATCATCAAATTATGCGCAAGCAAAAGGGCTGTTTTTTTTTAAATTTTCCTTGCATTTGATTGGTATTCTTTGCAAAGTGAAATATTACCACATTTACTAAATCTGTGAAAATTTCCCTTGCAAAGTGCAACTTCCCTTGCAAATTGAACAGTCTGGTTGCTTCAGTAAAAGCCAGTGTGTAAATATTTCTACAGCCCCAATACAAGATCAGATTAAAAGGGTGAGCTTTATAAAGCCAGAGGGTTTCTTGAATATATAAAGTATCACCAGGCTAAGATATTACTTCTGTAATGCCTACATGTTCAATTATTTTAAACTCTTATTTCAAAGTTTTAGGCCAAAACCTACATCTGTCAGAATAGGGCAAATATTTATTATATTGCAGTTTTTTTTTGTTTTGAAAGAAATTTAGGTTTATTAAATATCATCTCTGGAAGCATAATACAACTGGTGTTCCTTTTTAAAGCTTAGATGATGGAGGAGGAACCCACTCCTCTATCTTCGTCCGAGTGGTTGAGTATGGTACTTACTGTCCTGGAGTAGCTCACAGGTTGAACTGGTGAGTCTTCCATATATATTTATAATCAGCAGGTGGGTGAGTGGTAGGAGGATCTTCTGTCATGGAATGCAGCCAGCGATGCCATTCAGGGGGCACCATGCTTGCATCCAAATTCCAAGAAGTATATTTTCCGTTCATCTCTACCCACTGGTGATGTGCACAAAAATAACGTTTGTCTTCATAGTACTTATTGCAATACTTGTCCACACCAACAAGTGCACCGGTTTTCAGATCACCAGACCTGAGCAGCTCCCAGAAGGAGCCTAGCAGTCCCCGCGCCCAGACCTTTTATGCTTTCTTTCCTTTATTTTCATCTGGTGATCTAGTCAGTAATTCTGTTGTTTTTTCAACAGGATAAGCTGTCCTGCAGATGTAGGAGTTAGAGGATTGAGACAAACCATTTACCACTGGCAGGTGTGCTTACAATGATCGGCTTTTCAATTGATTTATGTAAAACCTTTAGCCCAAAATGAAAACATTGTTTGCTGTAACTGCTTATAAAGTGTTAGCTGGAGTTCAGCTTCAATCTGTTAGTGTGTCTAAATCTGCTAGTGCACCTTACAGTCCCCTCCCCCTAAATTAACAATGCTGCTGTCCAAAGATGTCCCTTGTGCTCCTTCAGCCTAATTGGAGGCACTCTAATACAGGAAGCGTGTTACTGGCCAGATGACCAGGTGAAAACAGGGGAAAAAAATGTAAAAAAATAAAACTAACACAGCCATCACATCTAATGATTGATAAGCTGCAATATATTACATTTTAGGATTGGGTTCAATATCACTTTAAAGTAGCAGTACAATTAAAGGGTGACATATTGAGGTTGATTTACTAAAACTGGAGAATGCAAAGCTGGTGGAGCTGTGCATGGTAGCCAATCAGCTTCTAACTTCAGCTTGCTTAATTAAGCATTGACAAAAAAAAACTGGAAGCTGATTGGTTTCTATGCAGAGCTGCACCAGATTTTGCACTCTCCGGTTTTAGTAAATTAACCCCATACTATCCAGATCCACTTCCTCTATAAAAATGACCTGCTGTTAGTAGGTATAAACATTACCTGTCAAAAAATGAGATTGGTATTTATCTTGCCCTCATCTTCCACATCACTGGGAGTAACATCACAGTCCTTCCAAAAAATTGTTGGGGAAGGAAGAGCAGACCAAATCTCAAGGGAAGAAAACACTCCAGTCCATTGCAAGAGCGTCTTCTCATGAGATTTCAGACCCTGATGTCATCCTTTCCTAGAGGCAGGAAACAGGGGTAAGGTAAGTGTACATGGAAGGAGAGGATTTTGTCAGTGGCAGACTAGATAGGCAGCACAGAGCCACTTCTAACACAGAAGAAAATTTTATGGCAAAAAAAAAAAAAATCAGGCTGACAATTTATTAGGTAATCTGTTTTTTTTTAAAGCTGAATTCCCGTTTTGATCCAGTTGCATAGTTACATAGTTACAATTCTCTAGTTTGGACCAATGTAAGTATGCATATCTCACATCTGAGGGGCCGCTGTGTAAGCTGACGATCCCTGTAGTAGTTGGGGCTACTACACTGATTGCCACAATCATCAGTTCAGACTGGCTGACCTACTGCATATTGACCACAGGGGCTCACTTGCTCGGTACCACCACCATTCACTAAATGAATTGAATAATTTTCAATAAATACAAGGCATTCTCTGACTGTATGAAGTGAAGGGGAGGGGCTGTGATTTCACGATCTCCACCCAAGCTGGACCAATGAAAGCATGCAGTTAAAGAATATGTTACCCCAAGATTACATATTCCTGATATGTGCCTTCTGTACCGTTTATCAGTATTATAATAAACACAGCGCAAACAATTCTATATTAATCAAACATGAAAAAATCTGAAATATTTACAAATGTGTCCCGTGCGTAAATGTGTGAACTACACATATATAAACACATATGCAGAAAAGTATCAAGTGTCCAAGCTCCAAAATATTCAAACAAAAAGTCCTGAAATCTCTTCTTCAGTGAACATTAATGTTATTAAGTCGCGGTGTCTTCCTTCACCGTAGATGTGCCATATTATTTTAATTAACTACCACCAAACCCTGTGTTCCTCCAGGAAGGTCTCACTACGCCTTGCCCTTTAAATAGGGCCAGTCCTCCTTGTCACCCCAATAGTACCTCTTGTCCAATGTACCATAAACGCTCCTCCATAGACCAGCACATTAGCTCAAGGAAACAGAAACAACCCTCATTGCATAATATATTAATAAACCAGTCAAATGTATCATGCAGCGGAATAGAATGACACTCACATAATAAATGCAGTAATCCAGTGCACAAAAAAGCCATCGCCTCTTAAATAATGTGTTGCCACCTTAAGGATAAGCTTAGGCATCAGATATCATACCAAGATGGCCTACTTCTGGGCTAATGTGATGATGTCATCTAGACAAGCCACTGGAGCGTTTCGTCACCTAATGACTTCCTCAAAGAGAAAAAAAAACTTTTGGTAGCACAGAGGATTGCTCTGCTGTACCATGTACTTGTACGAAGAAGTATCCTCTTCTCCTTGTATTGCTTCTTTGTGTGAAATCCCTGGTGATCCTGCCTGTCCCTCTGCTTTCCTATTAAAAACTGACCACACTAGGCAGGAGAACACAGCGTGGTCAGTTGTCTAGCTGTCTGCTCTCTGTTTCTCCTCAGTTTCTCCTCACCTAGTTTTTATGTAGCTGAGAAAAGAGGGAATGTAATCACTTATAAAAAAGGGGGAAAAAAAGGTCATTATAATTTAATCTTTTTAAGTTTTTTATATCTATACACAAATGTTTACCTTTAATTTCTATTTTAAACTGATTGGGTTGTTTTATAAGGTGATGGTTCACATATGCTTTAATTTCAATATAAAGCGGAGCTCCAACCAAAAGGGGAAGTTCCACTTTAAGGCTTTCTCCCCACTCCCTGTTAAGGATTGGCACCTACCCAAATTTGACAAGTACCTACTCCCACTTCTGGTGCAATCACCTAAGGCAATCAGAAGTGGAGGCTGTCCTCCCCCCTCCCTACCTGTAGTCTTCTAGGAAACGTGACAGGTCCCAGAAGACTACTCGCACATGCGCAGTGGGCACCCAGCTGTGAAGCCACAAGCTGTCACAGCCGGGTGCCCATACTGAAGATGCCAGTGTCGGGGGAGAGAAGATGGCCTGTGAGACCAGCAGTGGTGAGGACACCGCTGGACCGAGGGACAGGTAAGTGTCTGTATTTTAAAAGTCAGCAGCTATAGTTTTTGTAACTGCTGACTTTTTTTTTTTTTAATACAACTGGAATTATCGCTTTAAGATGAACTAGAGTACTGTTTTAAGCCAACAGAAACAGATTCCAGCAACTGTTTTTTTTACATTACTGTACATTATTTTGATGTTTAATAGTAATTTATTTACATTCACGTGCATGTAAACACTCTTAGGCCCTTTTCACATGGGGTGGACTCCTCTTTGATCATCAGGGGATCTGTCCACTGATTGGAGCAGAGCTGGGTGGTTGACAGGTCAGTTTCTGCTCAGTTTATGCTGGATGGACACCAACAGAGCCTACTTTGCTTTATGGATGGCCGGGTGTAAATGGACAGCTATGTAAACAACTGCCCTCCAATCTGATCCACCTAGACCGTGGGTGATGGATCCCATTCTGTATTTTTAGTAAATTGCAGTGAATTGGAGGTAGGCGGGTATAAACAGACACAAATCTGTTTACACCTGCCAGTCCATAGATGAATGGACCTTCCGATCTGGTCTGCCTGAAAAACTGACAAGTAGACCTGATTGGACCCTTCATGTGAAAGGGGCCTTTGAAAAAATATTGTTGGAAGATGCCAGATTTTGTAACACGTAGCTCCATCAAAATGCCAAAATGTATATGATTTTATTTGCTAAATTCAGAAAAAATGGCAGTACCCATGGAGCCCAAGTAGTGAGTGGCCTGTTTCATTTCTGATGGTTTCCCTACTGATGAGGCATCTCATGTTGTAAATTGAGCCTGAATTTAGTCTAGGTACATTAACCTCCTTGGCGGTCTGATTATGTCAATATTTTTGAATGTCAAAGCGGTACATTGTTTTGCATGGAAATTTGTTGTTTTATATTGTAGGCCTTCAGTTCTTAGGAATAACTCACTTAAATCTGTCCAAACAAGAGTCTTGTAAACATTCTGGGTATGATAAAATTTTTTAGAATCATTTGAGATACTTCCCAAATTTTCTTTAGTTTTGGTGCAGGATGAGTAGTTTCATCAAATTCTTTGTTGTTTTCGAAGTATAAAAATTTCATGATCAGGGAAAATCTGTACCCTGACACCAAGTTCGCACATCACTGAGCTCAGTCACAGAATCGTAGCTGTCGTCATTTTCAGTGTCTGATGACGAATTTCCCCACGAATCACTATCGCTTAATTCTGCAAGTGATTTTAATTCACTATTGCTGTTTTCTAGCTGGTCTAAATACGCTTTTTTGGATGCCATGGACGTTCTCAATTTTCCAGGCAGAAAGAACGGTAAAAGTGCAGGCAGGGCACTGGACAAAGCACTAGGGACAAAACTGGTGAAATGGTTTGAGACAGTAATGTAATCCTAACAGATTACAATGTATTGTGTGTATATCATGTTTTGTTTACTTTTTTGAGTCTCGTGGCGCTCACAAGGAAGGGAACCTGGAAGATGGATGCCGGCATCGGCCAGAGGACACAGTGGGAGGACATCGGTGGATCTCAGTGACAAGGTAAGTTACACTACAGTGTAATCCCGAGTGTTGCTCGGGGTTACTGCTTTTGGTACTGAAAATTAACCCCGAGTCACACTCGGGATTACTGCCAGGGAGGTTAAAATATTTGCATATTCTCAAGCAGTAAATGAACTTTAAATTGGAACTAAAGTTGGAAAATTAAAAATGAAGAACAGGCAGGCTTTGTATTGCAGAAGAGACATGCAAAGCCAAGGAGAAAATGACAGGGGACCACGTGGTCCTTGGACCACTGGAAAAAAGAGGGAAGTATTCCTGTCTTTAGTTCTGCTTTAAATCAAGCGTGGCTGACCTGTGCAGCTACAGGCACTATGGAGCAATATATTTTCAAAATTTACAGTAAAAGCACCAAAATTGCTTTTTCTCTCCACAGCTCAGAGTCTCTGCTCCCCCCTTCGAAAATACCTGCTCTGTTTTTATATTAAGGACTAGAAGGCTGGAAGGCTGCTGAGGTTGAGCTGAACTGCTGTATGCAATAAACAGCACATAAATGGCATAAAGGAATCCGTCACC